AAAAATTAGCCAATGTATTTTCTAACACTAGCTGCACATTTTATTCAGAAATGAAAATCTCAGAGTTGTGGTATTTTTTTTTCTTTTTTCTTTTTCTTCTTTTTAACAAATGTGACAGTACAGTTAGAGCTTTGGAACACTATTTCAATTAGGTATATAAGCCTCTCACTTTCACTTTGTGACTGGATGCTCTGTCACCCCCGTTTGCTTCAGTGCTAGGTATTGCTGAGAAACAGTAACACTGCAGTTTTCCAAATACACAGACTTCTGTTTCAGTCTGCATTCCTAAATGTGACTGTTTTTCCCCTTAATAACTAACATATTCCTGGACAGGCAGAGAAATCACAAGTCTATTTGGATTGACTACTTATTTTTAGAGAGGAATCCCCACCTGTGTTTCTGGAAACGGGAACACACGGAGGTGCATATTGATGTGCAAGATGAGAATGGAAAAGTTTCGAGTGGGGAGATGATAGCTGTCTTACTGGTGTTCAGAAGAGAAATTTGGTGTCTTTATTTATTTTAAAAATTATTTCTTCCTCTTAAAAGAAAATAAATTCCAACAGGACCATTCCCCTCCATTTTTTAAATGTTCAGGTTTCTGAGCATTAAATTTTTGCCTTATCTTGCTGTATGACAAAATGAACCATGCAAGTTCTCCTCTTCTTCCTTCCCTCATGATGGAGGCCTCCTTCCCAGCTCTGTCCCTTGCTTATGATGCTTCCTCTGGGACCTCCAGTCCCTGAGACCCTGACAACCCAGAGTATAAAACTCTTCCTGTTCCTCCTGCTGGATTTGTCACTTTTCTGTCTTTTAACACCCCACAGATTTTTGTTTCTATTACTTTTAAGCACTCTTAATCTCATTTTCTGAAGTTACATCTGCCCAGTAGATGCTAACATCTGAGAATAGTAATATATCTTTGTCACCTCTGTACCCCAGTAATGTGCAGTACAGAGTCTGGCAGATGGCAGATATTGAAATAAGTATCTTTTGGAGCAAGAGAGAGAGCATATGACCATATTAAAATATGCCCAATGTACCGCAAAGTTAGACTTGGTAGAGTCTACGGGAATAAAGAAGAGGGAGAATGACCACCACTTTCATGGAGTTGGAGTCTTTGATAAAACAACAAATTTCTCCTCACACTTTGTATCAGTGAGGAGCCCCACTTACCAGGTTTTTGGGGACATCATTGGTCCATGGTTCTTGCATCTGGAAGTAAATTCAGAAGCGCAAAGCTCATCTGGTCTCTTGCATAGTCAGACACATCAACTAAGTTCTATTTTTTTCTTGGTTGGATTGGAGTTTGAACTCAGGGCTTTGCGCTTGCAAAGCAGGCACTCTACCACGTAAGTCACACCTCCACAACAAAGTTCTTAACAACAGTGCGGGTATAATTGTTGAAAAATGGCTATTACAGACTCAGCACTAACAACTGGAAATGTCAAGATTTCTTTATCACTTATTCCTTCTTGTCCAGAAAAAGAAAGAGGAAACCAACATACTGAGAACAACAGAAGCTGGAATTCTGTTTAGCTAGCCAGGGGTGACCAAGTCCATTTTTGAGGACATAGAGGCTGAGTCCTCCCAAGGGATACCTACCTGCAGCTTTGTAAAGAGCAGCACTAAATTTTAGGTTTCACCTCCACTCCCCCTCTGTATCCCACAGTGCCCCTAGGGACAGAGTCCAGCACCTCAAAGGCCCTATAAAACCATTGCTCGTAAAGAGAGACTGCCCTAAACCATCCCCCAACCAATCTTACTGAGACTAAGTGAAGCATTATAGAATTAGCACTCCATACGAAAGTGGGTAACACAGAAGAATGCCACTTTTCGGATATGGGATCACATTCTGGCTTGAAGTTTTGGTATTTACTGTTAGGGTGAAGGCCAACTAAAACTCTTAAATAATGTGAAGAAATACATTAAAGAGAGGAAAAATATGGTAAGATTAGTGCAAACAAGAGGTGATAAAGCTTCTTACAGGAATATTCTTCCAGAATGTAAGGAGAATGGGCCATGGTGATGCTGCTAATATAGGTAAAGTGACTGACTGCTAAAGAAAGCAAACATTGTCTATTTAATAAACAGCTAAATACTCCATAATTTGATTTCTAGTAGTCATGCATATTTGCCATGAGGACTTTTACAATAAGATTATAGAGCCAATTTGATATCCCTGTTGACTTAATCAAAAAAAATTAGCCCTGAATTTCCCTCTCTAGAAGTCTCAAATATGTGCATGGTAATCCCCCCAAAATTGTTTTCTGTATTTCATGATGTCTTGAGGCTCTTCCTACAGCATTTGATTGTTTGTCTTGTCAATAAGGCAAGAATTAAAATTAAGAAACATATGAAGGTGATATAATGTCATAACAAACATACTTATATATAATTAATTATGACATTGTCCTCTTTTTTTCTTGATCTTATATTCATGTATATTCTGTTAAGAATACATATAAAATTGATACACTATGGTAAATGTGTTGTTTTAATTTAAAAAATTCAACTGAGGTTTCGTTCAATAGTGTAACTTCCTGGTTCCATGGGTTTTTTTAAAAAACTCAAATTCAATTTATGTACTATCTTTTCTGGAACTATATCTGGTTATAGGTGAGCACCCTGCCTGTCGTACCTATGATAATGAAAGATGAGTCAGAATTTCTTTCTTCCTTCCCTTGTTTTTCCTGTGTCCCTGATTTTCCCCAGAAACTAACTTTCTATGGAACAAATTTCCCTGGGCACCATTCTATGACGTAGGCATCCAAGGTTTCCAGATCTTTGTACTTAATAATATCCTTTTAAAACTGCAAACAAACACACTGCCTCCTCTGACCACTACTGTTTTTTTAATAACCAGAATAAACTTTAGTCCCTTTTAATAGCCCTAGAGATCATTAAAAGCCTTCTGGGATGTTCTGAAAGCAAAACTGCAAGTTTTGTCCCATGATCAGAGAAAGGAAAATATCCAGTTTTTAGTCTCTTCATTGTTCTGAGTAGCCAGATTATTTGTATGCTAAACTCTCTCCCAAATGGCAAAATGTGGGCCTACAAAAATAGACAATGGGGAATCATATAAATGCCTTTCAAGATTTAGTAAGCTTGCTTTTTCTACAAGAACTATTATCACAAAAAAGCTGCCCCATCATAGCATGTATGCTGGGATCAATTAGTGTGATTGTTTATGATGTCACCAGTATAGTGAAAATATCACAGGAAGTTCTGCTCTATGTGTATAATAAACAGCCAGCCAATACACACTGTTCTACTAGAATCATCAAACTAAGGGCTCACATTTGAGCACGTAGCCTTAGTATCCAAGCATACCCTTAATTCCTTTTTATACCTTCTAAACATACCTACCTATTCGTGTGTGAAAAGAACACTTCTCCTAACCACTAACAGGTCCAACAGGTTATCTCTCCTTCATCTTCTTTGTGCGCTAGGAGCAAGTGAATACATTACCAGATAATTACAGTCCACCACTTTCAATGTATAACTTTCTGTTGTTATTTCTTAAAAGTTTATCAAAGTAAAGCCAGGGGCTAAGAGAAACAAGTAATAAAGAGTGTTTTACTGAGCCTTTCAAAAAAACTAAATTTCACCCATGCCCATGAGGCAGAGATATCTAGAGAACAGCTAGATGCAGAGTTATTTCTCAACTCTTCCAAGTCTGACATTGGATGAGGCAGGGAGGAAATGAATAGCTTCACATTAGTGGGCAGTACAACATGTCATACATTTAGATCATTTTTATATGAAGTCATTACTGGGTAAATCCTCCTAAAACAAAACTACTACAACAGAAAGTTTCTTAGCTCTTACCAATATGATAAAGGACTTGGGCCAGATTGGTGGGAAATTTCTCCCTAGATATGTTTAACAAGGGGACTAGAAGTAAGAGCAATTTTCTGTAAAAAATTTTCTATAAAACAGAATCAAAGGAAGAGAAGTAATAGATAATGTCAGTAAGAAAAAAATATATTTGTTTTTAGAAATTGTGAGTCATTTTTGTCCTTTAGATGTTGTGCCTCTGGAGTTAAAAAAAATAGGCCTTTTATAATTATTGTTAAGAATTAGAATTATTTTAATTGTTCAATTCTAGAACAAAGGAAGAATCTGAAATATATCCTTGGAGTTTGTGCTAAAGAAGTGAATTGTGAGACACCAAACAACCAAAATGTACATTTGGGTTTACAAGCAAACAAAAGTTACTAAATTTTTTTTCTTTCTAAATAAAGCATAAAAACCAACAACAAAACTTCCACATACTGTGTAAAGGACAGTAACTGAAGTGCAGTACCTTTGGTCCCAGTGTGGTATCTTGGTTTGCACAGGGTCTTGACAGTTGTGCCCTACAGAAGGGACCTAAAGGGGAAGAATACCACTGTGCTTAAAGTCTTTTAAGCACATCTGGGGCATCATAAAGATTCTACACCCTCTACTGGGCCCATAAGGGCAGCTTGTTCCAAATGGTTTTCCACCTCCTTCCTAAAGAACCCATCCATTCCTTCCATAAGGACTCTTCTTCCATCTCTAGCTAGAGAGGCCCAGAACCAGTCTGTAACTTTTAGGAGTGTAACAGCATGAAAAACAAAGTTTAAAATGAACTGTGTTCCTCCCCTTCCTACCTGATTTCTTTCTCCCTGTCGTCTAAGACCCGGATATCTCTTTCTTACCCCAGAGCTCATGTTTAACATAGAACATATACTTTGCAAATGCCCTGCATGTTCTAATTTGTATGATGGGAGAACACAGCTCCTCTGAGTACCAATTTGACATTGTTTAACCGCAGAAGTCATTGGGAGCCAATCCCTGCCACCCCTTTTGGACTGTCTAAAATGCCCTTGCTAGCCAGATCCTTTTGCTAGCTACAGTGTTTGCACATTTCCTTGTTAATCAGCTGCAGAGGCTCAGAGACTGTGTGTTTTGGTGTTGTTTGTGTGTGCAATCTCGTGCTGCTTCCTGAACGCATGTGTCCCTTCCCTTCACAGCCTACTCGACACCCAGCACCTCCCCCGCAAACCGATTCGTCAGTGTTGGACCACGGGATCCAAGCTTTGTAAATATCCCTCAACAGACACAGGTGGGCCGCTCTCATCTTTTCTGTATGTGGTGCAGCTTGTATTATTCATCAGGTGCATTTTAACTTGTCTTGGGGCACAAGGGGCCGCAAGTCCCTGCCCCTCTTCAGTCCCTTTCCTTCTGACTCCCCCCAACCCCTCCTCCTAGCCCTTCAGCCATGTTTTCCTGTGTTCAGGAATCATAGAAAACAGGACTGCAAGTTTTGCTTTTGGTATTGAGAGGGCAGAAGAAGAGGATTTCTTAGCTTGACACAGGTTTTGCTATGCAAGTAAAGTTCCCAGTGTTCACAGTGTGTGTTTCCTCCTTGAGATCATGGCCCTAAATGCAAGCAGACAGAAGTGGGCCCCTATGAACCTGGTTGCTGCGACATCAGAGTGCATGCTGGGAGTAGGACCAGTCAGTCCTCTGTGCCTTAACCTGGCAAGCTTTCTAAAAGAAAGAAGGGAGAAAGGTTTCTGAGCGCTATTAAGGTGTTGGTGTGGTTCCAGAAATAGGAGTTTGGAGGGGTGACTGTGGAGCAAGGGCTAGAGGATGGGAAGGAAAGTGAATAGAATGCCATATTTGAGATAGAGAAGTGAGAGAAGAGTGTGCAGGATGTCTAGCGCTTGTCTGGGTACACTGGAGAGTTGTGTTTGGTATAGGTCAAGGAGAAGAGATCTTGTACACAGTTTTGGAATAGCTGCTGTGAATTGAGAAGCAATGAACCCTTGAATTCGCAGGTATGTGTATAGAGGTATTTATACATTGGTGGAATAGAATTAGATGTAAGATTGAAAAGAAGCTGTTCCCTGATTTCCTAATTTAGAATGTGGCAATCTATAATCACAATTGTTTCAAAGAAAGTATTTTCTCCTTTAGGTTCTTAGCAAGTGTTTGAAAAATTCTGAGCGATTTTGTTAATATGCCTGGTATGTTTTCTTCAGATGCTTAATTTGTAACTGGTTGTCTGCTTGTGAAGCTATGGCCAGGTGTTTGTGAACACAGTAGACTTGCCTTTCTGGGTTCAATTGCTTCCTCTGCACAGTGCTTTGGTTTATTCCTCTGAGGATAGCACAGATTGACCCCCACTGCCTCTGAAGTCTTCCCTACAAGGAAGCCTGGTCACAGGAACTACAGCATCCACAGATCTGGGAGGTCTGGGGAGAGGGAAAGGGCTAGCTCTTGGATTTCCCACTTCTGCTGTTTCTTCTTAAACTGGCTTGCACATGGTATCCGGGATTAAAATCTCCTATTCAGTACCTCCCAGAAAATTCCTCTAGTTATTTGCTTATTTTCCCATGCCTTCAAATATTCAAGTACTTTCCTGATGAGTTTGAGTTTGCATAATTACCTTGAAACCATCTATCTTTAAACAGAAGAACATAGTTTAACTTTGTATTCTTGGCTTATACATTCAAGCTCAGGGAGAAGAGAGAAGAGCGGCTAGTGGCTCAGTGTCAGATGGTTGCTTTCTTTTTTCAAAGCACTGGTACACTCAAGTTGTTTTATTAAGAACCTTAAAAATGCCGCTTTGAAATGTCCTGTTTGTATTTTGCACAGTATTTTTTTATATGAGCTGTCATTCACAGCACTGAAATTGTACCCTGTGTTTCATTCACTTTATTTCTCTATAATCAAAACATGTATATTCCAATATCACTTTGTTTCACAAATGCCTTATTTAACCCAGAAACCACAAAAATTCAATTCTTAAAAGTCCAGATTTTCCACGCATCTGGGTGAATGATGTCATGTAGACCCAGAGTTGGCATCTGGAACTGAATTTTTTGGTTTGCATTAAATATTTGGCATCATAGAGACAACGCTTAAATGTTTTTTACCCACAGTGACACCTGCCACTTTTGGCTTTAAGAAAGCTATTCCCAATTGTCTTATGAGAAATGTGCTAATGGAGTTGTCATTTTCCATATATATACAAAATACATATATGCCGAGTTAAAAATTATATGCTGTAAATATTTTAACGTGTACATAATAACTCTTTAAAAAAAACCTGCTTTCTGGAACCGTTTAAAGTGTTAGATATGTGTATATACAGATAATAAAATAATAGTAGACCTTAAATGTAAGCTTCCTTTCAGGAGGACCATTACTTCATAAGATTTTTAACAGGATTTTTTTTTTTTTGGCAGAACTGGGGTTTGAACTCAGGGCCTTGTGCTTGCTTGACAGGTGCTCTCTTACTTAACCCATGCCCCCATCCCTTCTTGCTTCTTCAAATAGGGTTTCACATTTATGCCCAAACCAGCCTGGATCACAATCTTCCTATTTATGCTTCCCATTATAACCTGGATGAGAGGCGCATATCACTACAGTCAGCTTTTATTGGTTGAGATGGGGTTTCAAAAACTTTTACCTGGGCCGTCCTCAAATCTCAAGCCTCCTGATCTCCACCTCCTGAGTAACTAGAATTACAGGCTTGAGCACTGCACCCAGCAGACAAGAATTTTTAAAGGCATAATTTGAACATGGTCTGCTGATTAATAATCTACACAAGCTTGCATTTTTCTATATTGACACCCTTGTTATAAAGCCTGAAGTTTGTATTAATTGAAATATAGGGAAAGTTTTTCTGAGAAAGCAAAATTTTGCTTTCCACTTATAAAGAAGTAAAAACTAGAGAGCTGCCCAGGCCGATTTCTGAGCTTTGTCAATGTGGAAGTACTCTGATCTCCATAAACAAATGCAAGATAAAAATCTTTCTCTCAAAGACCAGGTCCCTGGTGGAAATCTCTTAAAATGCCTGGAGCGCCATCCTATAGAAGATGAATTAGAGATGGTCTCTGTTTTTCCTAGAGGGTAGAAATCAAATTAATGCACAGACATGTATAAATAGGCTTTCAGTTTACAGTAAGAACTTTGTTATAGTAATACTTTTCTTAAGAAAAAAGTTATTTGATTGTATGCCGCCTCTATGTATTGAGCCTTGTCTATGTGCTGAGTACTTTGGGTATGCTATCCAGCTAATCTTTATAGCCACCCAATAGGATAGATGTAATTATCTTCACTTTATAGATGTGGAAGCCAAGACCAAATGAGACTGTTGATTTTTCCCAAGGACATAAAACAGTAAGGAGTGGAGCAAGGATTTGCACCCAGTTCTGTAACTACTCCGTGAGATGTCTAGCACCTTTCCTTAGGGATATTCAAACAGAGAACGACACTTCATTCCGAGGAAAAGCACAGGCATATTCCCTGCTTTTTTCTCTGGGAGGGTATTATGATCTCACCATGAGCATATATCCAAAAAAACTGAAAGCAGGGTTTTGAAGGGATATTTGTACTCTTATGTTTGGAGCAGCATTACTCATCACAGCCAGCAGGTAAAAACATCCCAAGTGTCTATCAACAGATGAATGGATAATACAATGTGGTTTACATGCATCATGGAATATTATTCTTCTTTAAAAAGGAAATTCTGGCACATGTCACAACATGAATGAATCCTGAAGACTTATGCTAAGTGAAATAAGACAGTCACAGAAAGATATTGTATGATTCCACTTACCTGAGATACCTAAAATAGTCAAAGTGCTAGAAACAGGAAGTAGAGTGGTGGTTGCCAGTGGCTAAGGGAAGAGAGGGATGCAGTGTTTGATGGCTACAGAGTTTCAGTTTTGCATGATGAAAATGTTCTGGAGATGGAAGGTGATGATGGTCCTGCAACAATGTGAGTGTCCCAGTCCCACTGAACTGTGTAGTTAAAAATGGCAAATCTTAAGTGCATTTTACCATTTAAAAAATAATCATTACATAAATTCTCATGGCCCGTTCCCCTCTTAAGAGTCTAAACTTCTGTAAACAGCCAGGAAAAGTAGACTGTTTACCAAGAAAATCCACTGTAATCACGTGCCAGCTGCTGGAAAGTGCCAGCACCTAGTGGGTGCTCAGCACACAGTACTAAATCTCAGTGATTCACAAGGAACTTTAAAAATGGTGACTTTTTCTTATTACACTATGGATACATGTTAATTGTGGAAAATACAGATGAGAAAAATAATAAAAATCACTTGTAGTCTTACTGTTAACATTTCTACAGAAATCCATCCCAGTTGTTTGAACACATACAAATACATTCAAAAATGAGATCATATTACATACACTGAGAACCTGCTGTTTCTTCCCCTTAACCATATATTATGGCCTTCTTTCCATGTAAATTGGGAAAATTGAATATTGGCTTTTATTGCATCTATTCATCATCTGTAATGATTGGTAGGGAAAGAGATCATGGATAATTGAAAGTCATTTTTCCTCCTCCTTCCCTTCCAGTCCGTGTTGTCTCCAGAGAGTTCCTCGCTTTGCTGAGGTGTACCCGCCTCAGCCTTGGCTTTGCCACGGGCTCCTCTCCTTTCACACTGCCTTCCATTGCAGATCTCACCTCAGTCGAGCTCTGGTGGAACACTGCAGGCAAATTATCGACCCTGTTCTTCCACCTGGCTTGTTGGCTACCCCAGCTACTTGGTTTTGCCCCTACGCTCCTCCTCCTTAATGTGAGAGGCCGCCACCTGTGGATACTCACCTGTTCAGTCTGAAGCTCTTGTTTTCCAATAGTGTCTCAGGACCGTTGATGTTAACATAAAGAAAAGTCTCGGACCATAGAGTATTTACTTCACTTTAGACACTATTAATGTGTCCTGCCTAACCAGTGAATGATAGAATGTAATAATACGGACTGTGTCTTCGTCTCAAATAGCAGAAAGACAATGCCATTTCAATTGCATCCCATAATTTAATCTGATCTCTGAAAACAAGAGCCATTAAGAAGAGGCATTTATTTAGAGGGAAAAATGTTAATATTTCTTCATCAGGTAATAAATAGAAATACCAGTTCCCACATAGGAGGGCTGAACACATTTTAATTCAGGATCTGGTTTAATCAGAATATTCAGATAAAAATGCTTAACCTGCAAAACTCCAATAAGGACTAATTCTTTAAAATGAAAAATGAGTCCAAACAATATTAAAAACAGGCATTTCCTTCCTACCACCCAAATCTAT